ATCCGGCTTCATGCGATACTGCTGAGTTTTAAAGAATAAACTGTGGTTATTCGGAAGTAGAAATCACTTACTATAAATCTGGCATACATGTGGGATTTCGTAATTTCTTTCAGTTTTTCGGAAAAATAATATGCCATCAATTGTGAAAAGTGGAATGCGATGTCCAGACTCTATAGTATATTGAAAACACATTTGGTTTTAATAGAAACGTCACCATCAGTCTGGCTGATATCGATTCGCTGGCGAACGGTAGAAAAATACTGAACACTTGTGTAAGGTTGAAACGGGCACTGGTGAGCTCAACCGAACGTAAATAATGTTGTCTCATGTGCGTACTTCAATGAGCCTAATGTAATAAATCAGGGGGAACATTTATGAACTCATTCACTGTGCCAAAAACGGGATATCGGAATTAAGCAGAATGGGAAACGTGTAAGCTATCTTACTTCGACGATGGCGATTAATTCCCTGCTGTTTTCGAAAACGCCTGTAAGCCACTCACATCAGATAGCACAAATAGAGATCAGGTCAGCCTCAGTACAATCAAATTGCCCAGCTCAGCGAAGAAGCCAACGACCATCTACGCTACCTGAGCAACCCACATTTTTCCCCTATAGAAAGCCTCAGAACACCTTTTCGCTTCTAGCTGATCCGGTCCGTCAACGGACTAACCAGTTACCGTAGAAACTACGTGAAACTTCCAACAGCAGAGCTGCTGTGAGGCTGACATTCCTGGAGTGATGAATTGGCTTCCATTGTTAAGTTTGACTTGTAATTTCTCGTATTACAAAACGCAGCACTCTTCAAAACACTTATGTGACCGCATTTCTAACGTATTCTGGACTGCATTTGACCAATTCCTCCTTATAATTCACATAATTCTGCCGAACATTCACTGCTTGAGTATGTAGTCGCTTGAGGAAACTCCAGAAGTGGACCATTTCCATATTAGTTTAAAAGATTTAGGCTCGATCAAGCTATCGAATTTTGCCATGGGATGACCCCAGCCCATTACTCAGACACACTGAATGATGTTCAGTCTTTAGCGAATATACACTCATCTGCAAACTAATTTGTTTCTTTCGAGAGACTCACCTGGAACCCAGCTGAATCTCTCGTTTATGATGTTCTCAGGCAACCGAATGTGCTGCACCAGGCCGCCTCATGTTTCAGTCGCTACGATATTTGAAATATCGCGATACATGTATATGTGTAATGTGCTACTCATAGGGTTGCTGAGGTTGCTTATGAGTAGCACATTACACATATAGATGTTCAGTCTTGTTTGGATGCAATATCCCAGCATGAATTTTGTGTTATTGATTTGGGCGCATCCCTAAACTTTGTGCGCATGTCCCTTTGGATGCATGTTTGAACATCCAGCGCATATAATGCACTGTGTACCAAACCCTACGACATATACCTGGCGGCGTAGGGCCTGTGTACCAAACCCTACGACATATACCTGACATATACCTGAGTTTGTGAATGATAAAATGTCGTCCATATCTGGTGACTTGCGATCGACTAAATACACTTATCACGTGACGCATGATAATTCTGACGAGATCGGAGATGCAAATCCTCCTTCACTAAAGGCGTATTTGGACAAATCAAAGATTTCGTGTTCGCCAAAGGTTAAATGGGATGATACAAATGATTTTCGGCACCATATAATAACTTACCCAGTGGCGTGTAGTGTGTAAGCAGTGTATCCAGTTCCGACACTAAATTAAATGCAAATAGCATGATGAAGCCTTGGTAAGTGGATTTATTCAATAAAAACCCTAGAGGCGCGCAATCAGACAAAGCTAATAGCCTTTCAAATGCGGTATTCCCAAATCGGACAAACTAGATCGGTACATATAGGATTGCGGAGAATCTGGTGTCACATCCTACCTCATTTGGCACGTTTGCATAAACGACACAATATGCACGTCGACAAAGATTTAATATGGTAACCCAGGTATTATTACTCTAAAATACAAGAAACTTTCTTTAAATCCATTCCAGTTGTTGGAGTATATCTTAATCAAACCATTTCATAACAGAAAAAACTTTTTCTGTCTAAACCCTAAATGCATGACAGATAGAGAAATCCACTGGACTAATCCATACCGGCTATAACTCGCTAGCTTTACCTTTCTCAATGTCGCGCATAACGGAAACATTCAAAGACAGCTTACATACTCCCCGTCATCTTAACTTCCCCACTCTGTTTCTTCTGCCCACACGGATTTCGCTTGCTAAGTTCGAATTAATATGAAGAACTAGCATTTCGAGCAAATATCGGCTCAAACAAAACTACAATAACAAACAAAGTTTCTATGAATTATTGGGAGTTAAACAAACAGCGACAAACAGCCTGTTTGTCAGGTAGGTCAGGTGGTTGAACATATCAGGTTAATAGTCTGTATTCCAACAGATATGATATAGCTAGCTCAGAGATTGAGGCACAAATCTACTGTCCGGAATGTCCGTGGCTCGAACTAAACCCCACTGACGTCTCAACTGCTCTTGTCCATGCTTCGGCAAGGCAGCCATTGGGTTACATGGAGCCTAGTTACCGAAACGGTTGTACACCTGGGCGGCCATTAATACTTCTGTTGTTAATTCCAAAACATTGCGCCTTTATAATAATGTTTACCCCTCTACGGATTCAGCAAATATACAGTCAGTGAATTTCCAACGGTATCACGTTCTGCTTGCACATGACCAACCTGGTGAAGTATACACATTTGAAAATAAAAGTGGCGTTTATCAGAGGCTTAGCTGAATCCACGCACATTACATTCTTCATCTAAACGTTCTGCACAAAGACCTCTCACGCTTTGTTTGTCGCAATCTTCAAGAAAAGGGAGTCCTGACGCGACACGCAACACAAAAACGAGATTGTGCTGAGATCATATTCTGTCCCCAATAAACCCTAAATGGATCCACAAATGAGCACTTCCAATTCAATTAATCACGTACACACATTTTCACTTTTGAGGACAATGAATACATGTATTTTTTGAAAAAATTACCGTAAATCGTGAACATATCGAAGGAAATAAATAGTATTGTTCTCTGATGCTCGCCTCTAGGATGATTTGAATAAAACTCACGGTGAATTTGTGCCACTGCCAACTTTTGGAGAAACAAGAATGAAAGTAAAATCCCTCTACGATCAAAAGGCATTTTCGATGAAGATGTTCGATTCATCCGGCTACCATGAACCATTCGGTGTAATTTTCTACGTCTTCCTAATGAGTACATCCTTTTCATAGCTGTGGTCACAGACAAATTGGAGCAGACAACACACGCTTTTTTTCATGAAAATCCCGCCAATAAGAGATTCAACCACGGGGATTGGTCGTCTTCTTATTCGTTTACTGTGTCTTATTCAAGAACACGCCAGTGTAGAGAAAGGTGTGATTGGATTCCGCAAACACTGTCCATCCTCTAGCCTTTGTCCCTATTGGTCTAAGCGAATGAACGTATAAGAATCTAGAATATCAATATCCTGCCTACTCAGATTACTCAAATAAATATTATGAGTGGTCGCGTGACAATGAAAGTACGAAGAATGGTAAATATGGGGATTTTCTAGTTTCTTGTCAGCACAAGAACAGTACTCACAATCAGAGTTTGAGAACGCTGAGGAAAATCATGGCTCATCCCATAATTACAGATCGGATAGGTAGGCTAACTAAACGAAAAATGACATGTTGCGTAAGCATCAAGTTGGCTTTGATGACCACACATAGAAGAATATGTTCCACATATTTTAGTGACCAAACGGAACTCTCGAGTTCATAGTTTTCGTTCGTATAGGGGGAGGGGGATCGCTGAGGTGAGAAGTAGTTCGCAGCCTTTGATGCAATTGCGTCTGACATTTCAAACACAAAGTAATGTTCTCGGTGAAACATTTATCAATGCACTGTCTCTATTCTTAACCATCAGACAAGTCTAACAACCCCCAATTTTATTCGCGTGTGCTTTGCCTGAAGCCTCCTAAACAGCGACCCTGGCCTGCATTGGATCGTGCCAGAATTACGTCGTTCTTATTTGGGATATCTGAAATGCTAGATAAATCCATCCAACACGCATTCGTAATACTCCAAGCTGGTTGCCTGGCAGTTCACAACTGAGCATTTATACTTAATTCTCGCTATTCAAAGATTCAACAATCTACGAAGTTGACTTTATTGACGGGAGTGTTAACCAGTATAGTGCTCTCTCTGTGTAAAAAAACCCCAAAGGAACAACAACTACTTAATGGTGATGTCGTCTTAAACATTGATGGATCTTACGTTGTGCATGCGTCGACCTCTCTAAAAAAGCAGCACCATTTAGGCAATACTATAAAGCATCGTTCTTAGCAAATCCGCTTCCTGAATCTTCGAGAATCAACCGTGGAACAGGAAACACCAACAACACACGACCTCTTTATGCAACCTTCAATTCATTGGAATCGCCTAGCAACGGAACCGCTACAATATTATGTTGATTCTTATAAGAGAAACGTATGGTGAATTCGCTGAACGAGTTTATTCACCTGAAAATCGTTGTTATATGCTCCGATTCTCTTCCTAAAAACACATGGCGGCATGGTGTATCCGAGTTACCAGATTAAATATTCCAAAATCCAGGAATCTGACCCTACTGATACTTCTTGCTTGGCATGACACAGCAAATATGAAGTTGTCGACGGTCAGTTTTGGCCTCCTCCGAGCACATCAGATAGGCGCAGTCACCGAGTGCCCGTCAGCATTGTGCTGCCCCTGGACAATAAAGTGTACACAAATGGTGAACTGCACTCATTTGCGACTTAAATAATTATTGAAAGGAGAGTCATCTGAATCTTGATTAGATTCCTCTTTCATTATACCTCTCAGCTTCGTCGGTCATAAAGCTGTCCCATATTCCTTTGGTGCGGCACTCGAAATACTGCGGCAAGTTTTCCCTCAAACTACTTATAGAGCTGAAAAATAAGTCCCAACAGCCTACTACCGGCAATGAGCTTGACAGGTGATCTTTACGATAAATATACCGTTGGAGGGCCACTCAGCTGTAATTCTCCTGAGTCCGCCATGAACAGGAGTGTACTTGGCCAAATAGTTATCGGTTTCATCATCCATTATGATTTATGTGATCCACCGTCGTCATCTCAGCCAGATGTAAGTAATGATCCGTAGGTGTAAATGAATGGCCTCGAATTTTCCGGTATTACCATTGTCAGCGAAAATCTAGTTAGTATCAAAATATGGTTATGCAGGAAAATGTGGTTGTGAACGATAGAATTTCCGCTTATCCAGTTTATTTAATCACAACCACTTTATTTGTTCCAAAACACCGCCATGCAAACGGTAATTTTTAAAATAGTTGACCAAGTTTCTATTTCCTAGAGATCCTAAGTTGATTAGGAAATTTGTTAGGCAGTGCTATTTCACATGCTTGGATTTATGCCGCAGGAAAAGCGTGTACATCGGTGATCGGAAAACGGACGGAATCTCCTGGTGGTTGCTGAATACTCAGGGCCAGGCGAGCGAACCAACAGAACCTAGAGGTTTCCGGCTTAAAACCGAATTGTAACGTGAGACCGTAAATAAGATAACGTGATGCAAGACGTTTAACTTAGACAAATACACTCATTTGTACATCAAAAGGAGACTCAAGGGAGATTCGCCCAAATTCCAGCTGAATCTCTAGCCTGTGACGGTCTCTTAGCAAATTGAGTTAATATAGAACAAAATTTTCACGGATACTCAGCGACTGCACCAACCTGATGAGCCCCAAGTGCGCAGATCCCTGCAAGTTTTGACGTATAGGCTTCAGCACTCTTATGGGCGGCGTGCTACGTCTATAGCAGAGGGTAAATGAATCTCCTGGATTCCCTTTCACCTCGTTTTGTTGGGCCTGATAAAGTCGACCATTTCTACGAGTATCTCGGGCTTAATGGAATCATCACTACTCTTTCATCGTCCACATGCAGCGCACATCCATTTAAAGCTTTTATTTTCAGGGGACCAGTTGACCTAGTTGTGCTCTTCCACTGCTCATCAACTCTGATTGGGAATCCAAATGCCCTGTTAGAAGATGAATAACTACTGAGTTTGATTAGAGAACAGACCCAAAATGGAATTGCTTGATAGCACAGTTTTCCCGTACAAAACAAAAATATTACGGCAAATATCAATACTCAACTGAAGATTGTCGTAAACGAGAGATTTGGCTGAGTTTCTCCTGAACATCCAATTGATACGTGAGTTTGAGTGATTTTGGTCGAATTTGGGTCTAATTTGGGTTCCAGTAGAACGTAACGTTGGCGGAAACTTGGGCACTTTGCTTATCCGATGAGACTCAAGAGGAGTAAAACCCATCTTGGGTTATCGATATTTTCAGCAAACATGTGAGGGATGTTTTCCAGACTTACGTGAAACCCAGTCATCGGCTTCCATTTGTCCTGTCCATGACATGCCTTTTCAATCCATCTTCCTACACTGGCCACTCCGGTAATTTTTCGAAGGGCGATGTAGCTTACGAAAGGCTAAGATATACACTCATACATTTATACAGGTTGATACGGATATGTCGGTTAGATCTATTGGCATGCAGTTTGTAAACTTCCCTAAACCCGATGGGCGTTCGAGCATTGGCTCATGATATCCATTGTGAGTTTGGTGACTGGCTTTTCACCGCGACGTTGTAGGGATCTTTCAGAAGGTGGGAAAAAGCAGGCAAACCGGTTTGACTTAGTACTGTTCCGTGTGATTTTACAATTAGGTGGTCCATTCCCGTAGTCCACCAACACAGTCGTACGCGGAAATCATCCACCGCATCTCGCATTGTGTTTTCGATCAATTATTCACCTCACCTCACCCCTTTAGTCCACATGCATGTTCGTATCAATTCACGGAGGCTTTTCTCATGGAGTGTATGCCTACCCACGTTTACTAAACGATATCTGAGCCAAATCATACTTCCGGTTTTACAAAGTCTAATGTCAGAAATCTAGGTTTTGTCTGATCAATGTACAGTGACAACGAGGCCAATAATCAGTTCGTATTGCTTTTCAACGCACCCATGCTTGTAACGGTCTGCCCTTCTACTGTGCTCCACGAAAAATCCAAACCAGTCGTGGGTAGTTGCGGTAGTCATAGACTTCACATTCGCATCATTATCATCTGAAATATTCTGGTTCGCTGGCTCAACTATTCTGATGAGTCCACACTAGGTGAAGCCACGTGACTGGAGCTTAATTCACATAAGGTTAGCCGTCACTGCATATGCTTGATCGTACCGGGATTTTAACTCTGAACATCTGGTAGGTTAAGCAAGCGAGTTGCCACAACTACACCAGCGCACACTGCTGCTCACATCTGAACGACTGAACATTTCCCCGCTAGAGCGATGTGACTGGTGTGTGCGTTGATTTGAATGGATAGAGAGGGGTCAGAACTCTGGTCACCAACCAAATATCTTCCGCATACGGGACATCCTGGGTCCTGAATTGATATCCACCCTACAAAAACGATGAGTAAGAAATCCATTATTTATCAGCCGGTTCCGGGCGGTTTTTAGCCGATGATAAAAATATTGATCGGAATATGATTTATTATCCGTCAACGGAACTAAGCCGAATCTCACGATGAATATATCATTCAACTGGATGTGTTGTTCAAATAGCACTCACGTTTTGTTTGGTTCGATATCTGGAACAGAGAAACCTTGAATCGCCACGTAGAATGGAAGCGGGTTTTAACTGGACTCCATTGAAATTTGCAACCAACGCCATGATCAACTCGATTTCAGTACAATGTTTGCGCATATATCAAGTCACTGAACATATGTATATTTGGAAGCTTAGCACTAAAATTGAAAGTAACAAGCGAGATAGATGCTCACTGTTTACTGATTGCTGTCAGAAGGATGATCAATTAAAACATATGGGAATTTTGTGCAACCGCCAAGCGTTGGAGACAAAACATCGAAAGCGAAATCACACCAAACAATGCCATCCTCCCAACGTAATTTTGACTCATCCGGTTGTGTTGAGCCGTCTGGTGGACTGTATCCACCCTACCCATGGCACCAATAGCCGGTGAATTCGCAGTGTCCTTGTCGTTCTCTGTCGTGAAAATCACTAATGAGTAGAAGATATTGCCGACAGGAGAAGAACATTTATATGCTCCGATTCACACAGGGCAGCTGGTTGTATTCTTATTCGCTTAGCGTGTTCTGACGAAGAGCAAGACTGTATAGAGAGGGGAGTGACCAGATTCCGCGGGGCTATAGAATCGGTTCCTGTGAGCTTCGGTGAGTCAACGAAGAAGGAGCGAATATGTCTGTATTCTGCCTACTCAGACTAATCAACCAGACATTCTTGGTGGTCTAATGACAACGAATACACGGAGGTCGGTAAATACAAAAAGGTTGTAGTCTGCTGCCACCACCAACATGAGTGATCAAAATCAAAGCTATAGAGTATCGAGGAAAAGCAAACGATAGTATAGGTATAGTATAGGTATAGTATAGGTATAGGTATAGGTATATGGGTTTAGTATAGGTAGACCGAATGAAGCAAATGTGAATTGTTGCGCTTCCATCTAGTTGGTGGTTAACACACCTACAATAATGTGGTCTATTTATTATGGTTCGCACAGGGTTCTCCAAAACACTCCAGTGTGGTTGGCATAGAAGTAGGAAAAAGCCGCCTACCAGGATGCAAAATGTGATTTTGTTCCCCTCATATTCTGAGAGCTACAGTAGGTCCGATTGAGGACACCGGATTCTGCTAAACTCGACGTTCGTTCTACTGCGGAGCTTCATTAAGGTAAGTGCACCTTACAAAAACGATGACAAAAAAATTGATTACTTATCAGTCGGTTCCGGGCGGTTTCCAAATGATGATAAATATATCGATCGAAATATGATTTGTTATTCGTTGAAAATTCACCTGAATAAACTACCGAATTCGATGAAATATGCGCAACTATCTAAGGGGATGACTAATGAGCTCATGTATTTCGCTTCCTTAATTGGAAACAAAAGCAGCGGCTGCTTCTCACCAAAAAAAATTCTGACACCAATTAAAATTGGTGTGTCGGCATTTCTTTGACATTGTTTTTGTGGCTTACGAGGGCATACTAAAAGCTGAATTCCTGATGAATCTCTCACAAATGATATCCTTCGACTGAATGTACCTCATAGATATCAACATGTGTTTCAGTTGCTATAAATGTGACATATCGACATTCTCTCTAAAGGAAACATGTTACTTGTAAACTTCCTGAGAACCCTTTGAATGCCGACGACCCGACTTTCATCTTTTGGATCCCGTCAGGCAAATATGGTCTCTGAGTTTCCACCGGACTTATTTTCCGAACCACTGACGGAAAACCTCCCAAGTGGATTCAGTTAAGGACGTGCTACTTCTTGATGGGGAAAAGCCTCCGCTCATCCTACGAGCACAAGGTATTTCCGGTACCCTAGATTCTGATGATAAAAATGTATACACCGTGGGTAGTACCTTACTACTGTGACCTCGATGATAACGTCAGGCACATACAAAACCATTCCGTATACATGCCACCCGTCTTACTCACAGACAGGTCTAAGCTGGCAAAACCCCAATAAGTAGCCACCATCTCACGTAAACCCTGTGATTGGCTCCAAAATTGTGTGCAGTCTACGCGAAACTTCATCAATATGCTGTGTGCATTCTGTGCCGTGAAGGATAACTCCAAAATCAACGTGTCCAGACCCAGGTTAATTCCACGGAGTCATGTTGAACGCTAGGCACCTGTTGACGAAGTTTCGTAGGATAATACATCATCAAACTTACCATTCGCCCATGCGTTAGCGGAGTATCAAGGCATCCATCCGTCAAGTGACCCTTGAATCCACCATTTGTGGTTCCGTTTTCGGTGAATGTAGTGATACTGATATCCCACAATCATTTGGTCCTTTCCACAAGGCCACAATTTCGTTCTCAGCGTCTTCCGCCTCCGTGTTTATAAGCGTACTTTCCTACGTAAAAATGTAGAACAGAAAAATAGGTCGGCGAGTACAAACTTCTGATGAGGATGGGATGAAATATAAGGGCAACCAGCATCAGTACAGTATAATGTCAATTTATACGAATAAAATTCACAAATAAATATCAATTAATATTGGGCATAATTTGAAGTACCAACATCAACAGAGGTATGAATGGCATTTGGAGGATCGCTGGGGTGAAGAAGTTTTGGACGATTGTTTCCAGTTTCGGTGGGTCAGCTGATTGAATACAATGTTTCCCAACTAAGACCACCCAAATCATAGTTCGAGAAAGCTACTATATTTCATCTCCATTCCAGCATGTATCTCACTCGTGTTTCCCCTGGGCACCAGAAGTTGATGCATGAAACCTCACCCACTAATTTCCATGGACGTTGTACCATCGGAGAGACCCCTTTATGTCTGAATTAGGCACATCAGAGAAAGGTTTCATTTCGTCTCAATTTCTCGTTAAGAGCAAAATCAAAAAATTAGTCTCCTGAAAATCCAAACATTTTAATCGCTTGCACCGAGTTAGCCAGAACAAATCTATGTGTGAGCTGCCAAACCCATAACTGAATTGACTCTCGACCCTAATCTACTTGTCTTGGCACTCTGTTGACGAAAGAGCAAGATCCCAAACCCAATTCAGCCTGATAGTAGTCTCTACCTTTCATTGCAAATTCAGTCACCAACACCAAACGGCAAGAAGCCTTGAGCAACAATCAGTGACTTCACCGACCGGTTCTCCGTCTGTCTTGAAATTTGACAACCTGATAAACTTTTCACATAACCTGGCGAAATATTTGTGTCAAAAGGGGAACAATTGTAGGTCTTCGGAGCGTTTTAAATGACTGAAAGTAAACCTAGAAATCAAGAGAAAACCGAATGTAGCGGAGAAACCCGTGGTAGTTGAATGCCATAAACACTGTGTAATTCTTGACAAAAAGGTCGATTGGTTCAGCATTAGAGTACTTATGGAAACTTGGTAAAATTTCATCAGAGTAGCCTACTTCACTGCACTGACCGGTGAAATACATTTATGCAACAGTTTTATACTACTTGCTATGTTCCAGTAGTTGCATTCTTGCACTGGAACATATTTAAAGTTCAACTTGTTTGTTCACAAGAGATTAACAGGCACAGTGCGTTTGGTCGTCTGGGGGTTTCCAGGTACAGATTAGGATGTACATTTGGAGAAGGCTCAATCGTGTTACTTTTGGAAGTGTTTGGTCTGTACCGAATGCAGTACCTTGGCTCTTGTCTGTTCCACTCGTGGATAACTAGCCCGCAGTTCCTTGTCGACTCTACTGAGTATCTCGGCAGTCATGGGTTGACTATTCCTATTGGGCCTATCACTACATTATATGCGACCCGTTGGTTGCATCCCAAGGTCAACTGGAGTTCTGGTACAACCTAAACTCAGAGTGTATATTTATTTCATAGAATGAGAGACGCAATTTACCCTTTATCCGATAACTGACTTAACACTGAATTTCTAGCAGATGGGAATCGGTTTAACTGCAAGGAATACTAAGATATCCCACATTGACAAGCGTGTGATTGGATCCAAGACGTTGAGCAATCATGACCATTTTGTAACAGTCGGACGTTCAGTGATTCCAACACCTCCAGTCGGTTCACTACCCCACCACTCGTCGCTAGTGTGGGATTTGATCTGATTGTTGGCCAGAAATTATGTGAGAAATCGTTGGTCTAACAATGTGCTCATTTTCAGCCATTCAGAGTACTTTACACGACATCTTCGGCATCATTTTTACACCCAACTAATTCATTGCCTAGGTTGCTGTTGTTCGGCTTCGTATTCAGGTATGCAAACGTCGCCGCGTTGGTGTTGTGCAATTTGATGTTACCACATGTTGGGCTTGTGTCACAGCCGAATGACGTTCAGTGCATACGAAACTAAACTGAGGACCAAACTTTTCGAAAAAGTTTGGTGACAGTCGGTAGATTTATCGCTGGGCAACGTTTCGCTTTTATCACAAAAGCTTCGTCAGGCCAAGTGACTAGGTTCCGAGGTTGATCGAGATTTAAGGCGGTTTCCCCACCAGCCCAACACTTGTTCAACCATCCTAGCACACTAAAGTCCATCAGCCGACACCCAACAGAGATTCAGCTTAACTTAGCTGATGGTTCTCTTTAACGTTTTCGAAAACGATGACTACCCAATCGTAGTTTCCACGTGACTGAGGACCAAACTGTTCTGGTTGAGTGCGATGTTCTCAGAATGCATCAGTGCGTCACCTACATCATATTCACCAAGTTTTGTGGCCCGTACTATCTATTGTGTTGGTGAACTCACTTTAATATGAATCTGTAGGACCTGAAAACCAGCCGTCGATTGCTAGAATATCCCTTGCGAATGTTTGCCACGAGGTGCAACAGCTGCGCCCACCTGATTCACGAGAAATTCGAGGTTAGAGTTTGGACAAACTGTGCGGTGGGAGTCCCGTAGATTCCAGATAAGGCTTTGGTTCAGTAAGAGATCCTACCGCGTTTTCCATTTTACGCACACGATACGGAAAGAGATGCTGTCATCTACTTTGGTGAATTGGAGTAGGAGAGCGCTGTATTTGAAAGAACCACCATTTTCGAATCAAAGCTTTTTAACACACGTCATTAGGTTCTTGGAGCTCGCAATCCTTTCAGCACGACTTTTTCCTATTTATGTTGCGTCCGTGTATTCGGTTAACCTGGGAAATCACTCTCGGCTGAATACTTTGCAGATTGCTTGATTGTTGATTGACAAAACGTCTACAATTTGTTTTCTACTGGATATTGTCTACTTAATTAACTTTGGCTGTGCTTATACATGGGATATCAACTTCAACAGTTGCGGCTGGATTCGACTAACGCCAATATGTGGCTCCCAGCTGAACTGCCCTGTTTTGACATTTGTCTGCTCCACATAAACCTGTGGTCGAAATTTGGAGCAAATCATGAAATATATTGAGGTTGTGTGTATTTACTCATTACGGATGAAGTAATGAATTCCACTGAGACTTACCATAAATCAAACGGTCCAGATACATACAGTTGACTAAATTGGAACAAGACCTAACCTTGACCAGACCACCGAAATCGTCTGATTGGCAACCCTCATCGTAGTCGTAATTCTCCTGATCTGATCTGCAATTATCTCCACTAATATGCTTTTTCCGCATCGAATGAAGACAATATAACAAGGGCGATGATGAAAAAATAGGATCTTGAACTCCTATGATTTCAGCCCTCTATGGGCTTCAATACTAAACTTGGCAATGGCTGGTTCGGAGGCACCAAAGTGCTCTATGTTGTTCTGTTACATTGCCGGACTTCTCTAATGGAAGCATCCATCTACAACCTAACCCAAGAGAGAACCCCGGCAACCGATGATGATGATGATGATAACGATGATGATGATGACGATGATGATGATGATGATGATGATGATGATGGTGATGATGATGGAAGAGAAGATGAACAGTCGATACACTTTTCATAATCTTTATGACCATCGCATCTTAGCAGGCTTTCCAGCATTCTTCAGTATGCAACAGTGTTTTTTAGTGTCTTCGTATTAATGTTTTCGTATTTTTGGTAAAGCAACCTAAGTGAATTAAACCACCCTTTACGTAAGTAATTTGCAGTTCCAACGTTACGACACTGATTTTTCAGGATTTATCTTAGAAACCTAATAATATAAAATGAGTGTCTGTCCTGAAATTTGGAAATCTACTTGAAATTTTAGCTGCCAGCGTTCAATCTATTTTATACGTAACAGCACTGATCTTTCAGTTCAAGTTGATAATGATTCATTACCGGGTACAACCAAACCATAAAACATAATTTTAGCATTAAATTCACTTCAGGTGGTAGAAACGGGTGTCGTCGACACTCAACGAACTGATGCTATTCAATGAACAACTCTTTCGCTCGCCGCAGCTTTCCGCTTCGTTATATTGTGATTCTATGGCTTCTCCATGAAGGCACTTTTCCGAGTTCACTCTTTGTGTATAAGCAAGATGACACATACAGGGCAATCGAAACATAGGGCAACGCGTGTTGGAATTTGCTGCGTCTCTTGCGTCTGCCCAAACAGCCGCGCGCGTCTGTAGGTGGCGTTCTCGCCTAGATTACGGACATGTCACACCCGTGACCCAATTTTGGACATGCGCATTCAGTCACGCACTCAGACGTGCATCCCGCTGACTCACTGCGTCGAGGTTTTTACTGTCGTGATAGTCACCACTGTGGCCCTTGTGCGATACCGTCCCACAACCTAGTTGGCAGTGGACATGTGCTCAGACTTTGAATAGCACTATCCCAGAAAGGATGCTGCGCGCGTCAAAAGTTGTAAGTCAACTACCCTAATCGTTCTGTTTTCACCTGCCTGCTGTTACGTTGGTCAGAATCCGAGGTGCATATGGCACTAGGCATTTATCGCATAAATGTCACTTTGTAGCTGAAAATCGTTGAATTTTCATTCTGCATCTAAGTCAAATAGGGCTCTCGAGCTTCTTGCTTCTTGCTTTGAACGCAAGCGTTCACCAGAACGGAATGAACTATGAATCAGATAGCTCATATAGAAGAATTGTATGTTAATGTGTGAAACAATGGACTATCCACCTGATCATAACCTAAGATAAAGTCTTTTGAGTCAGATTTGAAGGTGGGCTAAGACACATGCAGTTTCTCAGTACATTAGTCAACGCACTCCAAAAGTACGCCCTTTTTCCCGCTCTTTTGTCCCCACATATTAATTTCAAACCCGATGTGAACAAAACAAGGGGTTACGTAACTTTTGAGTGGAAACTGCTGTGTTTCTCTTCTATTTACCTTTAAGACTATTATGCATATTCCATCTGTTCCATACATAGTAGTAAATGGAGAAAACAGAGGAATGGGCAAAGGCCTGGAATAGAAAGGGAAATAACAAAAGGAATATAATTTAACTACGGTCCACGACTCGATTTTTTTCACTTGAGCGATCAATCAGTTGGCGCACATAAGTTCACTTTCAGGAATTTGGCAGTCCACATTTCGACTTCTCAGCTTTCTACATTTCGATAGACTTTCAGAATGGTCTGTTCGCGGAAGACAGCTGAAGCCGGTAGTCACATTATCAGCCTGACTTACCTCCGGCCACTATCCGGAACCAGATGCTTGAAAAGTCGGTGATTTTACGAACATTGCGGTCATATACGTCCTGATCAAGAACTCTCAAAAGTGCATATTATCGTTCGTAGCAGCTAATCAACTTGCTTAAAATAGGCGGCAACAAACCAAGGTAATCGAACCGTCAGCGAAATGATGTGTGACTTCTCATCATTTTTTCCTGAAAATCCAGGACTTTTCTTACTTTCGTCAAGATGTAGAAAAAAACTTTGGTTCAAATCTATGGTTCTCCTAACTATCCCAAGCAAAATGGTTTTGCAGTGTGTAATGTCCCTCTACTGACCGGTGTTTTTGCCCACAAATGTTCTTACGCAGTAACATGAAAACCCAACGAAAGCTACTACTGTATTGTCAGGTTTTTGCACCCAGGCATCATGAAGGCTGGCTGAAATCCTAGAGCTAATCTCAGCATTACCAGCTAGACCAGCCGACCAAACCGCGCACTGATGTTGTCATCTTGGCGATGAATTGGTGTGCGAGTTAATTGCCAAGCTCGATGAGCAGATAAAAAAAAACAAGTACTGATCGACCCACGGTACTGAAGATAAACCCATGTGAGAAGTTTAGCTAGACACATCCACACAATATCGAACGTTTGAATGGAGGTCAAATTTGACCACGGTTGTTCACATCAGGGTATTCTCCAAACAAATGCCTGTCTGACAGTGAGTTCTCACACCTTAATAATCTGTTAAGTGGATCTCTAATTTGAGTCGGCAATGCTGATGTGTGATATTTGGACTCGGATGTTGTTCGTCCTCCTATTGACCTAAGGAGTAATTTACTCGTACATGTGAATTGTGTACAAGCGTCACCTTGAACACAGGACTACTACTGGCTGCTAAACCGTTAGTTGGATTGACGGTAATCCAAGTTTCGCAAAGCTGGAAGGTCGATGCGTCCACAAACGGTTTATATCCCTGGACCTCTGGTGTTAAGTAGTGGCCTTTCAAATGTAGAAGTGTCTACCTCTGTCGAGAACCCCCTCCAGAGATACACGCAGATGGAGTCTCTAAGTGAGACACTCTCCTTTATCCCAATAACTGATAATTCTTGAGGTAAAGCAAGGTGAAAGATATGATTTACTTCCGCCTTTGGGAATGAGTTTTAAGCGTGAATGTTTAAGCTGTGAAATGTGGGTAATATTCCAAGAACATTCGTGAACAAGTCCCCTCATTGACCATACAATCATCCATAGAGTATGGATGATTTGCCTTCTTTCCCATATCAAGCTTGTGGGATATGTTTGAACATCTTAGTAGGTGGGTGTACAGCGTAAACAGGCTATTTCCATATACTGTCTGAAATCTGGTTCTGTCACCTGCTTTTCAAGACTATTTTGAAATTGATGGCGATGATGCTGGTGGTGGCAGGGTGGTGATGAGAGTGGAACGTCGTTCGAAAGAACACCTTTTGAATGAATGCAACTCTGGGCTCTGGAGCGCACCGTTTGAACTGCGGCGAGATTGCCCTGCAACAAATTTTACGGACGCCGAAACGTTCCCCAAATTCGTTGAAAAACAGCTCTCACGTGGGGTAGATTCGACATTATTGGGCTGTCAGTGTGGTGAAGTTCACCACTCCTTAAGGTTGTTCGTTCTAGCAACACTGGATATGTGGTTGACCGTCTCATGCCAGACAAATGGTATCTTCATGCTGTAGGCTCTGAAGCACACCAAAGTCTGTTCATTATAGTCTGTAGTCGAGGGTTCCAATCTGGGTCATTCTACCCCTTTAGTTGTGCCAGGTCTTTTTTCAATGTCATACAAGAGCTAGATACCAAACCGATAAAGTATCCGTCAAACTAACGCCAACTACCAATTGAACCCGCATTAACTCCCCCCTCGTACGAGTGATCACTTTGCCTGAGCAAGCAGCAGTAAGTCGATAGCTATGCACTTTCCGGTGGCCGAAGTCTCTCACACACTGCCTAAAGGAACAGCACTCCAAATCTCAAACGATGATCACACAAACACCATCGATTCAACTCAGCAGCGAAGCTAGCCAAGGTAACTCAGCCCTTACCTTTGCTCAGAAGATCAATATAGGCAGTTTTTGCCCTTGACGGAACAAAAGTGATACAACTTCAGTTTGATTTGAATCTGTTAGATGAGGTACCAAATGAACTAAACACATATTACTGGTAGCTCACAACAATGAAGCCCCCAGTAAACTGCGTTTGAATGGTCAGTGTATGCACTTGGGTCGACTTCATTGTCCATAACCTGAAATTACTTATTGTCGTACGTAATCAGGTAATGCAAGACCCTCAACGAAAGGTGCACATGGAGTAATCGGTTAAGCTCGTACGCAGAGCCATGTAGGAATATGCAGCCCAGTTTTATGTGCAAGCTGATGGTGGACAGGCTGTTTACAGTTTTCAGCTTGTGTACTACTCAAATTGTAGCCACTGCACCAAAGATGAAATCGAAACAGCTGGTACCGGTCATTTGCGTATCCGTGTAAAATAAGTCATTCTCGAAATCTCCGAGACAAGATGGAGGAATACTTTACCGCTAAATGTTGAACAGCAATGATGTGTTGTTCAAGTTAGGAACTAGGATTAGGCATCAATCATTCATCATTTGAGATAAAAAGGATATGAATCAATAACTTTTCGCTTTTTAATCTGACTTTTAGCGTTACCTTTTTGTACCGTTGCCAATTACTCGAATCGGTCTACTCACACTCCGTCGCTCGCCATTAAAATGCATCCCGGTCGTTCAGCTGAAGGAATGAAGACTTAAATAGCAGGAATAGTGTAACCCGCAGTGTAGGAAATTAAACTCTAACTACAAAGAAGGGAATTTAAACCCCACTATAGAAGTGTGGGCTGATGTCGTAGGTGGAGTATCCGAAAAGACTTAAATAGCAGGAATAGTGTAACCCCCGGTGTAGGAAATTCAACTCTAACTGCAGAGAAAGGAATTTAAACCGCACTATAGAAGTGTAAGCTGATGTCGTAGGTGGACTATCCGACGCTCCAACAGTTCGAAGAGGCCGCGATCAGTTTGTAGTAACGTCCTCTGAATGAGCGAATTCCACTCAGAGTGTAGTCCTCTTAGAGTTGGATTGCTTGTACATAAACATTTTTGGATGCGCACAAGTCAATCAACGACAACAGATCCACACAAACCGTAAACAACTACAAGTTACAAAAAACCACTGTTCATCAACAAGCGCGTTTCTAGTGTTCACCCGATTCATCTAAACTACTATATCATTGTGCTTTTGATATACTTCCACAAGACAGAAGTGACAGAAATAACACATTGTCGAGATCATCGTGCAACTTCCTTGTTAACCACAGTGATCTCACCAGAACGA